GACATCTACTCGCGAATTATCACTATTTATGATCAAGTGACCAAGTTGGTGTTCGAAATCTAAGTTATACAAATGAGTCATGCATTTCACCAACTTGTCACCCGATCCAAAATACTCGAGGTGGAATTTTGACCAATTAAACAATTCCGTAGTTCACAAGGCTTTCAGTCAGCAAAAAAAAGTCTGTGGGCTAACCTCAGTATATATTAATATGCTCAACTTGTTCTTGTTTTGTGACAAACAGTGGTCATGTCTATAAATGAAAAGGGTATGGTGGTGGCAAAAAAAAGAAGTCAGATTCTCCTTGCATGATAAACCACTGTGATGATACCTAGTAATAGGAAGTGCTCAAACTTATAGGCAGTCAGTGTTCATTATGTCAGTGATATTGAACATTGCATTTCCTGGAATGAACATTTGGCTAACCCATAGTATGAGTTCTCTTTGTCATAAACTAAACTCATGACATGCTTATGAAAATCCTTTGTTCCACCAGTGTTATCTCACATACACAGAGGTATGAGCAGGGAGGATGGAAAAGCAGATTGTGGCAAGAATCCAACATCTGCATCAGGAAATATGCTTGCCTAAATCTAATGTTTGTCAAATGTAAATGCTGAATAAATATAAATGCTAAATTAAATGCACACAAGCACTTGAATTTTGCAAGTGCTTATAACATGCATTCTGTCATGCATATCCCAGTGCACACACGGCAGGCAAGTCCCATTCAACACACCACACACACGGCAGGCCAGGCAAGTCCCATTCAACACACCACAGGCAAGTCCCACTGATCTATAACATGTAACAAGCACACCACACAGCAGGCAAGTCCTGCTCAATCAATAACATATAACAAACACAGCAGACAGCAGGCAATGATCCAAACAAATGCTAGTCATCAAGTACATGAGCACTTGAATGCACTAATCTAAATGCACATAAATGTATGGTTTTCTGCAAATGCTTGTTAGTTAAATGATCAAGCATCTTAATATTAAACTGACACTGTATGTAATGATTGTCTTACAATGAATAAATGCATAATGACATTCCTTTTTTCAATTTAAATCTTTTTACATGTTGGCATTAACATAATGTTAATATTAAGTGTTATAGTTTATTTTCATCAATGAGCATTCATCACTTCTCATATTTATTTGCTAGCTTACAAACACCAATCAAATTAAACCAACAAATAAACCAGTCAGTATTCAAAGGAAATAGGGCCCAGTTCTTTTTGATTTAACAATTATAAATCTAATACTACAAATGAGTCATTACCTCATCTTGATATAATATTATGACAACTTGCTCATTCTATACTCCATCTGCTTTTGATATATGACTGCAGTTGTCAGATCTGACAGATAATGTAGTAATCTTCCATAATTTCTGCTCTGTGGTTACAAATGATCTATGAATATGAAGGCTGTGACATTCCAGAATCCTGGTGTAATGAATGCAGTAGCTGCAGAATACACTGATGGCAAGAGAAATGGACATATTCAGTTAGTTGCAACAATGATTCAAACAGCTTCAATATTGATGCAATCAATAAGGAACTTGCAGGCAGTGTATTGATTGGCTGTATGATTGAGAAACTAAATGTTTGTTATTCTGGGGGCTGGGAATAGCCCATCAAGTAATGAGAGCATCTTTGAAACATGTCAAGCATGTTTTAAGGATCTGGAAATAAAGGAGGGGAAAATAGAGGAGGGAAAAATAACTGAGGGAGGGCGTTTGGACATTTGGGCAGATCAGGCCATTCATCAGCGGCTGATAAAATTTCAAGACAATAAAACATATAGACAATTGCGAGTTGGTTTAGGACAATGGCACACATCAAATGTTATGTGCACTGTGCTCATTCTTATGTTTTCCAGTTATGGCATTTACAATTGTGCATTTGAACTTGGAGTGAAGTTTCTGGAAAAATTCAAGCACAATACAGATTATTGTGCAACTTGCAGAATTTTGGAAATGATTTGGATGTCTATGGGTATAGCTCTTCAGAATTATCTTCTGCAAAAGGGATTGACAATGGAAGAATTAATGCAAGGAGATAATAATGTGGCTAAAGTGTGGGCATTATATTTCAAATGGGCCAGTTTTTGGAAAGGACACAAACTAGGAATTCGAAGGGGAAATCGCAATATGCAAATTTGTAACTTAGCTGCATTTGCTCCCTTATTTCCATGTACTGGGAGAGTCAATTATTTCAAGTCTGTCACGCAATTTCTTGCTGAGTATCAACGTTATCCTCAGCTCCAAAAACTTTTACGTCACGCTTGCTCTGTAAATATCACACAAGAAGGCCATTATTTAGCTTTCGATGAGGCACTGGAGTTTTTCAGAGTCAAGTTTGTAAAACAAAACTTGAAGAAAAGGATCATCAATGAGGAAGATCTTAAGCAGCAAATACAAGCTATTCAAATGGAGAGGACAAGAACAGACTTATTATTTTCTATATTTAACGATAATCACACAGCTACGCAAAATACTCATGCAGTTAATGATCAGTCTGCAGCTGTTCAGGAACTCGCAAAAAAGATGTTAGAAGCATTCAATTTTCAATCCCCAGAAAAGCACGTGCTATTTAGAGGATGTACCCAACTTACTCCAACTGGTTATGCTGACATCTTTGAAAGTTATGAAGATGGGTTGGAACGTCTAGAAGCCTTCTACAGACAGGATATTATTCATGTAGAAAGAAGTGACTCAAGGTTATTCAGTCGAAATAACTCATGCCAAAGATATAGTACCAGAATTAATATCTAGTACTAGACTGCAATGTGAGGCTGCACAGTTAAATAGCATGTCCATACCTGAGGTTTTTATAGAAAAGAGTGGTTAATGTACATATTAAGTTTATGCAAATATAATTGTGTATAATAGTAGATTTATTATTTAAATTTAAAAACGGCGAACAAAATCAATAATTACTGATGTATATATTAATACTCTAGACATTCTCAATAAAACAATTATTATTAATTAATATATTTTAAGTAACGTGTGGTGCGTTCCCATTCTTTCAATTACAAGGTTACAACGCCGTTTCATTGACTTCACCGAGTTAATTAGAGTAGAATCCAGGACATTCCCATTCATGGTCGACCATTATTATTACCGCCTGCATTTAGTTTTCTTAATTGTTTTAATATTGTTATATACCAGTAGAAAGTCTTTATGTTGCATGACATAGTATATTAATATGCCGTTACGATTTACACTATGTCTACTCCACTGTCAAATACTGATAAGAGAAAACAGGTAAACTGTATTAATAGTAATAGTCAAACTCAGTACCATGACATCATTGACAATTATTATTGGTTACAAGCAATCAGCGAAATATGCGATTTATTGTGTAATTAACGAATAGAATCGATCAAGTTTATCATATGTGGGAGCTGGCATCATCATCATCGTTATTTGTTACGTTGAAATCTTTTTGACGTTTTTTTGGGCGGGGAGTATTCGATATTTTGATAATCGTCATGATTCCACATTTGACATAAATCACGCGCTTATTTACACTTATTGTTAGCTGATCGTTAATGTTTATTTCCCATATTTGAAAGTATCGGTATGATGTCTGCATAACCCTAACACTATCATTAAAAAATAATAATAACGACAGTGATAACAATACATAATCTCTTGGAGCAAAAAAACTAGTAGTCAAACGTTAAGGTTAAGAAAATGCTAAAGAAACGATTGATATTGTCACCCTTTCCGAACAACAAATATAGTGACCTCTCGTTATCATGTCATGCGTACTAGTAAGACGGAATAATTAACGCTATCTGTGCGATAACAATAAAGCTCGTTATGATCACACTTTTGGTGTTATACTTTTAGTATTGATATGATAATATGTCATAAGAAATGATTAACATTATGCATGTAATGATAAATACTAAAGCACAAAAGATATTCGCTTCAAAATTATGTAGTTGAGGTTAATTCTAAGTTCATCACATGAAACATTTTCACTTATTGGTGTTATACTTTAGTATTGATATATTTGTACACACATTGACAACAGTTATGCTTAACATGCATGTAAATTTCATTATTGGTTGCCGATTTAGTGATGCTAGCGATTGAGATTGATTTCACGTTTTAAACAGATTGTTATACGCAAACTCAAAATTGAATTATAATATTCCGTGTCAATCTTTTGCACACACATCGACAACAGTTATGCTTAACATGCATGTAAATTTCATGAGCATACGATTTCCGATTTAGTGATGCTAGCGATTGAGATTGATTTCGCGTTTTAAACAGATTGTTATATGCAAACTCAAAATTGAACTTAATTATAATGTTCCGTGTCAATCTTTTGCACACACATTGACAACAGTTATGCTTAACGTGCATGTAAATTTTATGAGCATTGGATTATTGGTTGCTGATTTAGTGATGCTAGCGATTGAGATCGATTTCGTGTTTTAAGAAAATTAAACAGATTGTTAAATAAAAACTCGTAATTGAACTTAATATTCCGTGTCAATCTTTTGCACACACATCGACAACAGTTATGCTTAACATGCATGGACAAAATAAAATCTTTAAGTTTATTATTTCTCATATATATAAAATTCATTATTATATGGCGGGGCTACCGCATTATCATCATATGGCGGGGTAGTTACCGCATTATCATCATATGGCGGGGTGGTTACCGCATTATCATCATATGGCGGGGTGGTTACCGCATTATCATCATATGGCGGGGTGGTTACCGCATTATCATCATATGGCGGGGTGGTTACCGCATTATCATATTAATATGGCGGGGTGGCTACCGCATTATCATTATATGGCGGGGGGAGGCTACCGCGCGACATTTCATTCATCGCAAGACTTCATTTTATCGCAGGGGGGAGAGCCGCACTTCATTCGCGGGGAGAGCCGCACATTATTCGAGTTTTTGGGAGAGCCGCCGCACATTTTATTTGATTTTGGGGGAGAGCCGCCGCATATTATTCGAGTTTGGGGGAGAGCCGCCGCACTTCATCCGCGGGGGGGAGCCGCACATTGTTCGAGTTGGGGGAGAGCCGCCGCCGCACTTCATTCGCGGGGGGAGAGTCGTACTTGTCTCCCAATATAAACGTCACTAGTACGGGCATTGGCCGGTGCTCAAGGAATTCTACTGTCGTTTCCAGCCCGTCTTGCAGTATTGTTGCCACACTTTCCCCCGACCCCTGTATCTCCACTAATTTTACTTTGTCCTCCCTCTCCCGTTTAAAAAGTCTTCTGAACATGTATTTGATTGTATGGTGGCAGCCAATTTCTAGAGCATATGGACCTCTGATCCAGGTCCCGTGATTTTGGAAATATGCCTTGGCTATGCTATGGACTAGGATGGAGTGGGGTGGTTTGTGTTGATTAATACATGTATATCTAACAGGAGAAGGAGCAGGAGGATGTGATAAATGATATAATATGCGTTCTGTAAGATCTTCATCCTCCTCAGCATAAACAGGTTTATTATTATGTTCCATGATGTATGATAAGACGGAAAATCTTGATAAGAAGAGACGGAAATCAAGATAGGAGGAGAGTTGCTCTCATTTTATAATTGCTGATCCCACGTTACAATGATTGAACTAATGTTAATATGATGCCAGTTCATTTGCTTTATACTATGTGTCAGTATAACTTGATATCTATCTCACTATTATTACAAAGCCATAGAAAAGTATTATCACTTAATGTATTAATTTATATTATTTGCAAAGACACATGGTGGCTAAACAATTTTGCACAGTAGACCCATGGTCATTAGACATGATATTAAGTTGCACACACACCGTGTAATCAAACTTTCTAGGCAATTATTTGTCACATTCTCAGATAGGCAAAGAAATTTTCTCCTCGTACTGATTAATATATATACTATCATTCGTGTAGTTGTTAAACTAGTGTAAGAATTTTTGGATTGTCTATTGTCCACACTCACCCCCCAATACACTGGTTTACCAGAATTGCTTTGATTCAATCACTTTTATTGTAGATAGAAATTTGTTGAGAATCTAATATACAAATATCTTTTTCTATGGCTGCACTTGTTCCATCGCGCATAATCGCTTCCTCATCCCCTAAATTTTATTTGTGTGACTACATGTGAATTCGGAAATGACCAGCAAAAACTTTTCGGAAAAGATGACAGCATGGATGGCCCTTGATCGTTATCTCCATATGATAATGAATCGTTATATCCGGATTTACTGTATTATGTATACAATTATGATATCAGATATCACATTATTATGTTCTCATGAAAAGTGCCCCTTTTTTTTTCTGACTGACATTGGTAACGATCCATATTATGGATTTCAGCAAAAGATTTATCAGGTATGTGTTATGAATTTGCTGTTCGAGACTGTCGAAGGGCGACTTACGAACATTAAATCAAGAATACTCTTTCGCGAGCGTTTAGTGAATACTCTTTCGCGAGCGTTTAATAAACATGGATACATATGGTGTTGTATGGTCTATCGAAGGGGATGAATTCGAAAAAAAAATTTTTGAATGGAGCACGAGGTGATCGTCCGCGGGAATTCGATTCCAAGATTTTCAGCACTCGTTCGTTGCCTGTGTTTCCACTCGTAAAAGTCTCGGAAACTATTGCCGCCAAAGAAAACTGTTATTTCTGATGCTTTCTGATGGTGTTTTATTAATACAAGATCTGTTAATGGGTTTAAACAAGGATAGTGGGTTCGTCTCTTACAAGCAAACGTTTTTTTAGGAACACGTAGATTGGACCTGCATCTACGACGCGACGTAATATCATTCAAAATATTAAGATGTACAACAATAATCTATTACTATACAATTATTATTATATTCTGTTCTATAACAATGCGACATTTAACTGTGCAACCTCTTGTTAGATGTTTAATATATGTTACCATGACTGTTGTGTCAATTCGTTCTGTACGAATAATTTCGTTGACAATATAATCCACGGTGGTTCATAGCACAGTTCATAATATGCCGAAGTGCTTCGATATTTTTTGTGCTCATACTGCAAGTGATGTGTTGATCACGCAACACATTATCGCTGCTGAAAGTCTCAGAATCTCATCTCCTGTCAGTTTCCCGTAAATTTCTTAAACTTTAAGTAGCAGGCAAAAAAAGGTAGGTGAGACAATTCTCTCCCGCGCCATTCCATCCTATTACAAGCATCTTTGTGCAAATGATGATATTATGAATAAACTTGCCTCTATGCTAGTAAAGAGTACCGTCATCAAATAATCTATTGTTCATAAACGATTTCCAAGCACCCACACATATCACTCGTCTCACATAACGTAGTCGAGATGTAGAAGTTCACCCGCAAAATAGAGTAAAGGATACTGTCAATACATTTAATAAGTATTAATATTTCGTATTATTATTATTTGCGCTGCACAGCCACATTTTTATGCCATGGTCGATCATTCACTATACTGTTCACTAATTTCTGGATAAGGTATGTAAATGTAATGTTCAGTAGATTTTTATGGTTATGCAGATCATGGTAAATAGGCGCCTGATTTATGACAAATGCGGCAATTCTTATGATTATCAAAATATCGAATACCTCCACCCCCCCCAAACATGATGATGATGAAGGACTATTATTGTCTATGCACTATGAAAAAATTTCGATCACATGAATTTCTCTGTCCGGCACGGGATGTCAGCCAATGATTGTGATTGATAACGTTGTGATCATGTCCATTGTACTTGTCTAACGGTTAACTGAGTGGCGAACACGAGTGTTAATTATTTCTGACTAACGCGTTAGTTTTTAGTCAAACCCCAACCGATAGACTACGACCTAATCCAGTGGTAGAGAATCGTGTATTTGGACTCGAGAATAATTAACATCGAGGATTAGGGTCTCTACGCTTGTTAGTTTAGAGTAAGCTCGAGTAAAGCCTAACAAAAGGTCACTAACTGTTACGTAATAAGGTTTGCTACCGAGAGGTGAGCCACACACACTATCGACAAGTAGCTAATCCTTAACCATGACTTTTGACTCGACAATGGGATTCCACTGCTTTGATTGTATTGCTTTGTATTTGTTGTATCTTGAAAGTTGTATCTTATTTATAACCAAATTTGTATCACTGAACAATTTAAACATTGATTTCTTTCTGATTATTTTTGAGTATATTGAAATACACTTGTAAATTTCTATAGTTTGTAATTAATTCTTCATTTTCAATTTTCAGTAAAGAATGTTGTTCATCAGTGAATCATATTCATTCATAATGTTTCATACTGATCTTCCTTTTCAGATCTGTTCAATGATGTAATCATTAGGAGAGGAGATAAATCTAAACCATATTCATCGATTAACTTTTTATATTGTTCACAAAGTTGCACATATTGTTTTACATCGTCCGATTGTTCATTTAATATTATTAATTGTTGAACTTTTGAGTTTTTGTGTTAAACGTTTGTTATCTCGAAGGAGTTTGAGAATATCATACTTATAATTACAAGAGATTTTGGCTTGTCTGTTTCCGTTTCTTTTTGTTTGTGGCATTTTCTTTGCGTTTAATGTTAAATGTATTCAAATGTTGTATTTATATATTTATTAAACAATATGGATACATGATATGAAATAAGAATGATATAGAAAAGTTATTCATACCAAGACAATAATTATCAACTTTTAATAATCCCATCTGTTTCTTGGTTTAGGTAAGTTTTTAGTGAGTAAGGGTTTGCTAGAATATTTGGTCTCCTTTTCGAGACGTGATAGGGTTTTACATTAGCATGATAAATAGTATACCTTGATCAGTCTTCAGAATTTCGAGTTCGTTGCACATATTGTAAACGCCAAAATCATCAAAGCGTATATAGTATAACGACATTTTTTGGGAAAGGCTTTTGGACATAAAGTATCAGGATATTAATATACCGATATTTAATATAACGACAGTCGTTGTATGCAAATTTTAGTGACACACTAACACACCTTTTTTATTTATTAATTTTAAGTTTTTAATACAATACTTTATCTCATTCGTCTGCTTAAGCATAAGAATTAATTCTTAATGACATTAACAAAACAGAAAAGGTAAACAGAAACCTATCATTATAATGCTTGACTTTTAGGCGTCTCCATGTTCGAAAAGAAGCAAGACTGACAAAAATAAATCTAAAAGAAAAAGTCTTACCGGGGTTCAAAAAAAACAAACAAACGACTCTGCCAGCGAGCCCGCGACACCAATTTAACACAACAGCTGGTTAATGAATTCAAAATAGGACGGTCCTCTGTCACTGAAATTCTATTAAAATCCGATAGATGGCTCGATGTCGAAAACGATACGCTTTGGCATTGTGGTTTGATAATGCTATTGAATGTAGGATTACTATTCCGTTATAAACACAAAAAACAATTCCCTAGTGAGTAATTTAGAAAATAGCACTCTATGAGGTTTGTTTTTTTTTTTTTTTGCAATAAACACAATCAAACCTCCAATCAATAAACCAACTACACCAACTACAAAAATAGTGCTTAAGAATTTAAGAAAAAAAATCTCTCAAACCAGTGTGGAATTGGTGCAACAAACCACACTCGAGGAATATTTGACATTCAATGCATAGTTTTTTTTTATATTGGATATGGAAATTTTTTGTCTGAACGAGCATCTTCAATAAATAATTTACTATATGCTTTAAATGAAACTGTAATGAAATTGAATAGGACTTCCTTATAAAGAGGAAACCTGGATATAATGAAAACCTGGATATAATAATAACGAAAAAAAAGGTTGGAACAGATTACTTCGTTATATCCAGGTTCACTGTGTATCAGTATTATCCAGTATTAGTATGACATTCAATTATGTGAAAATAATTCTTTCTTTTTAAACATTGTAAATATTTTAACAAATGTTAAAGAGTCA